CCTCTGTAAAATTTCTGGGCTGTTTAATTACCTCTTCAGGTGTAAGACCCCAGCCGGAAAATGTTCAAATAATACGTGATTATCCCAAACCAAAAACAGTTTCGGAATTGCGACGATTTCTGGCAATAGTTAATTTTTATAGGCGTTTCGTCCCTAACGCTGCTAAAACGCAAGCTCCATTGAGCGATTTCTTAAAAAATTCGAAGAAGAATGATAAAAGTCTCATTCAATGGAACGATAACGCCGAAAAATCATTCACCAAATGTAAAACAGATATTGCAGAAACCGTAACTTTGGATTATTATTCGCCTGACAATGAACTTTCTGTCATGGTTGACGCATCTGATATAGCTGTAGGATCTATCTTACAATCTTTAACCCCTTCTGGACCTCGACCGATCGCCTTCCTTTCAACGGAACGAAATTATAGCACGTATGACAGGGAACTGTTAGCAATTTATTTAACAGTTAAACATTTTAGATACATTTTAGAAGGACACAAATTCATTATATTTACTGACCATCTGCCCCTTATTTACGCATTTCGAAAAAAATCCGACTCATGCTCACCCCGTCAATTAAGGCATCTTGATTTCATATAACAATTTAGCACTGACATTAGACACGTTTCAGGAACTGATAATGTTATCTCAGATGCTTTAAGTCGTATTAGTGAAATTAACCTCCCCTAAATAGATTTCTCTGCTATAGCTAAAGCTCAAAGTAATGATGAAGAATTAAATTCACTAATTTCAAATAACGAAACTTCACTTAGGTTACAACATCTTAAATTAACTGAAAACTTAAGCATTTTTTGTGACTCGAGCAATAATAAATTACGTCCTTTTATTCCTATCAATTATTGAAGACGTATATTTGAGTCGATTCATAATTTATCTCACCCTGGTATCCGAGCTTCACAGAAAATGCTATCAGTAAGATATGTCTGGCCCTCTTTGAGCAAAGACGTAGCTGTCTGGGCTGGATCTTGCTTTGCAGTGCCAAAAGTCAAAAATCCAAAGGCACACTAAGAGCCCAATTCAGCATTTCAACCTTCCTTCCGAAAGGTTTGAACATATTCACATCGATATCGTTGGGCCACAACCTCCTTCCAACGGATACTAATACCTACTAACCATCATAGATAGATTTACCAGATGACCTGAAGCCATTCCAATATGTGACATCTCTGTAGAGACTATTTCCCGAGAATTGGTGAAAAATTGGATTGCAAGATTTTGCGTCCCTTTGGTTCTTACATCGGATCAAGGCACACAGTTCCAATCTCATCTGTTCTCAGAACTCCGACAAATGCTAGATATCCAGCACATTAGAACAACGCCTTACCATCCCTCCTCAATCGGATTGGTTGAACGTTTCCACCGTACGTTGAAGCAAGCTCTCAGGTGCCACCAGAAGTCATGGACTGAATGTCTACCCCTTGTTCGCCTTAGCCTCCGTACAGTCTTCAAAGAGGATATCAAAGGAACTTGTTCCGAAATGGTGTATGGAAAATCACTTCGTCTTCCTGGTGAATTCCTGGAACCACCTTCGACAAAACCTTCTGATGATCCTTCCTGTTTCCTGCAGAAGTTAAGGGACACTATGCAACTTTTCAGGCCGGCAAAGATCTCCGCTCATGTCAAACAAACCTGTTTCATGCACCCAGCATTATCATCAAACACACATGTCTTTGTGAAAGACGTGAGTAATAAATCATCTCTCACTGCACCTTACAGTGGTCCATTTGAAGTGATCAGTTGTACTGATAAACATTTCACAATAATTGCCAATGGAAGAACATCAACTATCAGTGTTGACAGACTTAAATCAGCCTTTCTTTTGACTGACTCTGAACCTTCATCTTCTCACGAGACTCAAAACTCATCTAACGTGGATACACCCGATTTCACACCCGTGAATGTTGACATTTCGCCACCTTCTGTGCTACCACAGGAAGTACAGACTCGCTCTGGTCGCAGAGTCAAATTCAACACAATATCTGTGATAATCGTGCTATAAGCATTAGGGGGGAATACTGTGGTGGACTTGCTTCACCTAAAATGGTAGTTCAGGCCAAAGCGCACCATCTTTACCTCAACCAACATGTCTTGTTTCCTGCTCCCCCGACCCGGCAATTGAAGCTTGGGACCGTTCGGTGGTGGTTGTTTTTACAACTTATCTGCTTTTGAATTTCTTAAAGTGACTTACTGAATCTTTTTTTATTAAATAATTGTTAAATGTTATTAAAAAACTAGTCGTTAATTCTTCTTAATTTTTCAGATTGTTTGTTTTATTAATTATTCTAAATGAATATGTTTATTACATTAATCAGATGAAGTTACTTTAGCCATAGTTAGCAACTTAGTTTATATATATATATATAGATAGACAAAGAGATAGATAGATAGACGACCGGTGGTTGAGCGGTAGCGCTTCGCGCTGTCGTGCCACAGGTCCCTGGTTCGATCCTCGGGCCGGGCAAGGCTAACTCAGCCTTTCATCCCTTAAGTGGTACTCGATAAATGAGTACCAAGCATGCTTGGGAACTAAACACTGGGGGATCCGCGTTCGGCTGACCACCTGACCGGAACATCAGCTCCTGCACCCCAGAGCCCAAGGTCAAGAAAATTGAGATGGGCACAGTAGGCCTTGGCCCTCAAGGGCTGTCGCTCCGACTGAGTTTAGTACAATATAATAAGAAACTT